TTTAGTAAAAATAAATAATTTGGAAAAGAAAATCCATGGAAGAAAACCCAAAAAAGCTATAGCATGTAGCCTACATAAAAATGAGAATATTAATTTTCACATTGATCTAAATTTTCCATATTAATCCCAAAAAGTATCTGAAAGAGTTTTTAGCAAGATTTATAGCAAAAATAGAAAGTTATTTTAACCACTCAACTTCCATATATAGAACATATATATATAGAACACAGCTCTGTGGATTTGAATACATAGCTACAAAGACTGAGATTAGTGGGATTTTTATGCAGAAATTAATTTCCAAAGAAAGGAGTGAGATTATTTAATATTTTTGGAATTTTCAACTTAATACAAATTTAGTTAACAACCGTATCTTTATTAGTTAGCTTTGTAAAATACAATATTCTTTTATGGGGTATTATTGTAAGATTTTTCTTTTAATGAAAGGAACCAGTGATTTCATTGGATGTTATTGTGGGCAAAAAGAGCCATTGCTTAATTAGCAAAGTATAAAAAAAGACATGAAGAATAACTGCATTTTAGCACACTAAGCAAGAAAGTAAGAGGAAAAAGTCCTTGTTCAAGGTTACAGAATATTTTAAAGCATTAAGAGAAAAACAGATGGTCTCCTTTTGCCTTTGTTACTGTATCGTCACCAAAATTAGAATATTTTATATGCACTATAGTCTTAAAATGGAATTCAGTTGAGTTTTTCAGAGTTTTCTGTTTAATTGTGAGTTTAGTTCTAATTTAAATTTTATTTACTTTTAAACAGCTTGAAAAAGTTTTATATTCAATTTATAATTTAACATTTGAAAAGATAAATATGAAAGATAAAAGAGAACAATGAAAAGTTATATTAAAGTTAACAAAAAATAATAAGAAACAAAATTTTCATTAGAATTTACATAGAAAGTCCAAGAGAAGTTCTAAGAATTAAAAAGAGTCAAGCAAAGGTGCTGGATACAAGATCAACAGAGTTTATAAAGACGCGCAATGCCTAATAAGAAAATATATTCTGAAAGGATCCCACTCACCATAGCAACAAAAAATTGAAGGTACCTAGGGGCAAATTTACCAAGCAATATGGAATATATTGAAAATAATAAAACTTTACCAAAGATTGTAAAATGCCTAACTAATATGTACACCATGTTCACAGATGGAAATACCCAATATCATGAACATGTCAATTCTCAAATAAATCTATAAATTCAATGCAATTCCAATCAAAAGCCCCACAAGGAATTTGATAAGCTGACCCTAAAAGTAATTGAAAAATAAAGGGTCAAGAAGAAATGGAAGAAGAATAAGGTGGGTCGGGGTGGCTCACCACATCAGGTATCAGGAATTATTTCAGAGCTATAGCAATTAAGACAATTTGGTGTCAGTGCAGGAATAATAAACAGAACAATGGAAGAGAATAGAGAACTCCCAAGCAGACCCATGCATATAAAGCAGAGACAGCAGAACAAATCAAGGGGGAAGGGGGTGCGTCAGTTGTCTATATGGGAAAAGGAGATTAGAACTCCATTTCCCATTATATATAAAATACATTTCAGTTTGATTAAGGTCCTAAATATGTAAAAACAAAAACTTAAAAACTTTTAG